AAAAGCATGCTTAGAGGCTATTTTGGATCAAATTTGTTTTTTTAAACAAAAAACAAAAAACAAATAGAAAAATTGTGTTCGTTTAACTTTTTTTTATTTCTTTTTTTTTATTTTGAGGAGAAACACATTTGTTTCTAAGATACTCAGAACAAGAAAATCATGGTTTTGCTTGTTTTTAAAACATGAAAAACAGCCCCGTCTTGCATGCGATAGATTCACCCGTCTCCATGGCCTTCATCTGCTTGGAATGACGACCACATTGTTTGTTTTAGACATTGCATTTTACAGCTAGAATCTGTTTCAAAATTATGTATTTAGTGTCGTAAGATGGATACCGAAGGCGTCGACAATGAACACGCTCGAAGAGGTTTTCAAGATTTCGAGGGCGCAGATCCTCATCGCCATGTGCGGCACTGTGCCTGTTTACTAATTTAGGGTTGCGCTAATCGATGTAATCGTGCGATTTATGATCCAAGTAATGGGGTTTTTCCTCATGTTGGTATTCATGATCGAGCTTGCAATAACCTACCATCATTGGACGATGCCAAGGAATCACATTGGTTTCGTGGTGATGTACGGGCTAACTTTCTTCTCGCTAATTTTGGACCTAATACCACCACTTTCATTGTGTCAACGGAGATGCTGAGGTCAACTTGTCGCGGAATATCGGCAGCGGGGGGAAGGCCGGAGCTATTGTGGCTTGTTCAGATTTTTGTATGCGGCGCAAAACCAGGATAAGAAGTGATTGCGGGTATCCGACCAGTGAATGTATACAATTAATGTTAAAGGACTATGAAGGAGAAGAAATAGATCTAAGATTACATGAATATCATTTATTTGAAATGAATTGTAAACTATAGATTTAACACCTCAGACAGCACTAACAAACAAATGAAAATGAAGATTCATAAAGCCCAACTCGAAAATTTTGACAAGTCTGATGATAATGTTGATTAAATGAAGCACAAAGCGTCCACAAACAAAACTGACATTGAAATAACTAATCCAAACAGCCCCTAAGAAGACTGAAAAGATCACCATAACAGAATCCCCCTTTTAATCAACAAATCACAATTCATGTACGATGATGAGACAAGTACCGGTATGCCAACAAGCCAAGACCTCGCAGCAGCAGCTAGGGCTGTACTATACCCATTCATTCCCTTTCCATCTTCCCCATAACCTCCAAGGAAATAAGCGCTCAGTGTCCATCCTGCAAAACGTCATCAAATGTTTCAAAATCCTAATATTATCTTGTAGCATCCTGCAAAACGTCATCAAATGTTTCAAAATCCTAGTATTATCTTGAAGCACATCCAAAAAAATAAAAAATAAAAAAATAAAAAAAATAAAAACAAAAAGAAAAAGATGAAAACCAGCTATGAAAGGATCGGCAGTTTTGAGGGTTTCAACATCAAAAATAGGTAACCCATGGCTAAATCTCCCAAGGGCCGAAAACGCGAGGAAGCATAGCAAGTCACCTCCCGTCAAAAGAGCCAGAGTCCTAAAAAAACAGGCAAGCAAATTGCCAAAAATCCGGTTAGGAAACAAGGAGTGGGAGAAAAGAGACGGACTCACGCCCACGAGAGCAACGCCGAAGGCGTTGAGGGCTTGTCGAACTGTATGACGCCTTCCAAAGGGACGCCGTCTTCTCCGACAAAGACCGCATCTTCATCTTGGGCGGGGAATGGAGGCGATCGGCGAGAGGTAGCGGGTTCACCACCGGCGGCCAGGGTGAGATGTAGGGGCTTTCTACGGTTCTGAGAGCTGAGTTCGAGGAAGGTTTGGGAGGAGGGCGTGTGGAGGAGTTTGGAGGAAGGGATGAAAGAGGTGGCGCCGGCGCCGCTAGATCGCCGGGCTGAGAGAGCTCCATTAGGAGCTTGGCTCACGAGAAGTTGGAAGTCCATGAGCCAACAGATAAGGAGTGTGGATCAGAACTAATTTGTTCAATGATTGTTAAATACTACATACAGAAGTTTTAAGCAAAAAAATAGTACATAATTTCTATGTATTTACATATTTAACACTTCAATTTTTACATACACTTAACATGCATTTAATTAAACAATTTCTATCCATTTAACACCCAGTCGGAAAAATGGTACAAATAACACGATCCAGCCATCCATTGTACATAAAACAGACGTTAATTCCAGTTCATTGTAGCTTAAAATTGAATGATAAATAACAGATCAAGAAAATCTCTTTGTATCACAGCCAAACCAAACCAAACCAAACCAAACCAATCCAAAATTCTTTGTAGCAGAAGAAGGATTTCACAGGCAACTTAAGACAGTGGAATTTTATCATTATTTAATAGCTCAAGAGAGTTGCAAGCTACAGAAATCTGTTCATACAAGTTGAAGACAGGAGCATAGAAGTAATAATAATAAAATTTCATATGCATGTGCTTAAGAAGTTGGACGGCCAGAATTCTTCCAATATATAAATGTAAAGTTCATTTTCATGCAGAACGTTCTTAAGATCCCTTCAGAAACCATAGCTGTTATTTTGTTGATCACCGACTTTTAGAGTTTAGAGAACTGAATTCTAACGAAACCTGTTGCAGCACGCTGCTCTAATCGTCTGGTGTGGCTGAAATAGTGAAGTTCGTTGCAGGGTTTCGAAGAGAGCTGGATCTCGAGAAAAGCTTGGCCTGCTTTTCAATTGTTGGAAAGACGAATATAAGGAGTTAGAAAGGTGGTTTAAGAGAGATAGAAAGAATCTGCCTCTGCAGCAACTCAGGAATTTTTTTTAGGATACTTGGACTAAAAAAGGTTTAAGAAAGATAGACTTGGACTAATTTCTTTGACAGATTTTAAGTTTGGAAGATTTACATGCACACCACTTAATCCTTATGTATTGTACATTTCTAACACCCACACTTCTATTTTCATATATATACACCTTACCAATGCATGAAAAGGTGTATTTCATTTTTTTTAACTTAAAATGCTAGTATTTTGATAGGACTTGAAGATTTCGGCAGTACAAATGTAAAAAACCAAGCTTTAGGAGTTAGATCTGTAAATACATAGAAATTGGGTGGTATGTATGTAAATGCCCCTTAAAGTTTTCATCAACGGGAAGAGATGCTCACACTGGCTGGATTAAAGAAGGTGCGGCCCCAACCATGATATTGGCCTAAAACACCGTAAGCCTTTAAAATTAGGAGTATCATAGATAGATAAAAGTAAGGAAAGCTGAGGAAGAATGCAAGATAATAATGTTATTACCTTCCGACATGGATCTGCATAAAGATAATCCAATGGAAAAGGTAGCTGCCAAATCAAGGAAAAAAATGTCAGTTGCAAACCGTTCAGAAGCAATTTTAAATGTTAATGGCTTAAGAACCAAGCAAAGATAAATTTTTTGGGTTAAGGAATGAAATTTTATCATTAAGGGTGTGTTCGTGATAACTTTCCACAGTTTTATTTTACAAACTGACTGCCATATTTCTGTTTTGCTACATTTTTATTATTGACTTTCAGAAATTTTTGTAGTGAGAATGACTTTGTATGACTAGAACTGATTGTGAGCTGGTTTAAGAAAACTAAGATCGGGTTTTTCTTAAGGGTGAAAGTGTATAATACCAGAAACTTTCAAAAGCTCTGCAGAACAAGTCTCGGGTTTTTCTTAAGGGTGAAAGTGTATAATACCAAAAACTTTCAAAAGCTCTGCATTTTCTCAGAACAAGTTCACGCCTAATTCTACCGAAAACTGTAGCCATCCTGGAAGGACCCTAATAACAAAAAAACTTTATTAGGGTGAATGATGCACTTGGGATTTGAGAAGGGCAGTAAATGTTACTATCATTGTATTCACCACTTTTGACTTCTTTAAGCGTGGACCCCACATTATAACTAATTTAGGATTAGTTGAACTATATAAATATTGTTATCTTCCATTTTGTATTTATTTTTCACTTTTGTGACAACACTCTCAAATTTGACGCCACATCAGTATCCTACTTTTCCGGCGCCATCATCAAAACAATTGGTAGAAATTGATAACCATAAAATTCAAGACAAGAAGTAATGATGGTTTCGAATTTTAGTGAACCGTTATTTTTAAGGTGATCCACTTATTCTTGTTGGAAATCTTCAGGGAAACAACTAAGAAATGGTTATGTTTGAGTTGTAAGCACAAAAATTTGTGGCAAATGCACTTTTAGTATTTATGAATCAATATTTTTTGTGCAACAAGTGCTTTAAATGCTTGCGTTGGTGTTTAGAGATGTGCTCTATCGAGTCGAAGGAGAGTAATCAATTATAAATCAATATTGAAAGATACCTAAAAATATTCACTATTTGGTGAGATAGAGATTGAACAGCTAAAATTGCTATTTTTTGCTTGTACCCATGTCTGGAGATATCTCTTCTAAGGTTCACAAGTTAAGCTTTGAAGGCATCAATAAGGCGTGCCATTTTGGCTAGGATTTCTTCGACAGCAAATCTATCAATTTTAGTTTTTGTGTAGAGGCATCGGTGGCAAATTCCAACATTTGCAAGCGACAATAATAAAGATTCCAACCTGGAAACCAATATCCTGATGAGAGGTGATTATGTTGTTTGTGGGATAATTCTAAGGTTATAGTTATTTATTTATATGATGAAGCAAGAAGCGAGAGGGAGGACAAGGGAATGGTTGAAGTAGTAACCTCGAGACTGCGAGAGTTCGGTAGAGCGAGGGCCATGCAAGAATGTCCTTCTTTCGATACAAATACAAGAGTGGCGCATGGTCGAATCCCCTCCCACCCGCACCGAGAAATATTTAGTGCGACTCCGACAGCTTCTTCAAGTTGTATTCATAGGAATCAAGAAACAGCAGCGTACGAACAGAATAAAAAATTTGCATTTTATTTATATCTAAAATTTTATATTCTGATTTGATTTAAAATATGTCATGTTATTAAAATTGTGGTATGGTTGGATAGTTCCAAAAAGTTGGGAGAAAATAGTACAGAATAACATCAACAACATTACCAGGATAATACCAATCCATATATACGATATATGCACCCAATATTCTACAAGGTTGGGGACGGATATATGTGCATGTTCTGATTGTAATGTTAAAATTCTCACCAAAATATTCAATTTTAATTATGTCACAGATGACACATAGATTTAATTTAGGGGAATTTACATACATAGCACCCAATTTTTATGCATTTACTCATCTCGCACCCAAACTTTGATTTTTACATTCAAAACACCCTACTTGTCTAAATAGTGTAATCCACATTTTCATGCATCTTTTCAAATATAGAAGAAAATGTGCTTAGCTCGTAAAAATTAAAGTTTGGGTGTGAGATAAGTAAATATATGACTTGGGAATAATATATATATA